GAGATTCCAGGTGAGTTGAGGAGGTGAGTGTGGACAGGGAGTGAAAGCTGAGCAGGTTACAGTGACAGACTGATGCTCCTTCAGGTCAGAGGGAACATTAATGCTAGGACTCCAAGGAGAATCTGTAATTCCACATTTATATACATTTTTAACAACAGAACACTGTGAAATAATTAATAATTAACATCAAACATTGAGCATAGACTTTGTACATAGGTTGTGCAATGTAGCATTTGAATCAGTGTTCATTACACTGCACTGAATTTGGTCTGAAAGTCAGATGCACAACAATAACTTTAGAACAAAACCTTCCCAAGTATCATCCCTCGTTCTCCACTGCCCTACAACCTAACCCTGAGTCTAACCCAAATTATAAATTAGTCCAAGATGTTCTATCATATATGCTAATGTCACTGTACTTTATCATGATCCGATACTGCTGTGGATCTTGGACATATTAACCAGCAAATCACAGAGAGTGCTGTTATATAATCCGTTACACATCGAAATTTGTGTACCGGATTATATGTATATAAAATATGTTTCTTTTATGCCAGGCTTTTAGCGCGGGAAGCCATCTAGATGGATGGAAAAAAAAAACAAAAAAACAAAAACAAGAACGCTGTATGCACTCGGTTTTTACCTTAGAATGGACAATTCATGTGTCAATTTGATACAATAGGGGCTTCCACACTTCCCATATCTGTGTCCTCTGTCACTTTTATCAGCAGTTGAAACGGTTTCATCCGTTGTTAACATGTGGTAACCTGTTTTTCCGAGCCGCCTTTAAACGCAACATGAGTGCTACGACGCTCGCGCTGGGTTTACACCTGTGCGGCAGTGAAGGAGACCTGCTGCTGCTACAGGTGTGTTAGAGTCATGGTAGCAAACCAGAAAAACGCAAAGAACTTTTCACAGTTTTTCCCCCAAACTAACCGACTGAGTTGAGTAAAGCTGCTGGATGACTAGCTAATATCAATACGTCACCTTAAGCTTAACAAGTTGCCTGTAGGCTACCGATGTTGTTGTCTATGTCCAGCTATGTACATTCATTTTGCCCCCAAAAGAAGTCGATTTCCCCCCCACCCCGCTCATTCTTAGAGACAGGGAGTCTCTAAGAATCCCCTCCCCCCTCCCCCCCACCCCCCCCCTCCCAAACGTTGTTCAACCAGACAGCTATTTGTAATCTATAGGGGGGTCCAGAAAATGTTTGAAAACCACTGGTCCATACTTGTGTTGTGTAAATAATTTTGCCTTGCCCTACATGCCTGTGAATGTAAAGACTAAGAAAGTGTTTGTGTGTGCGTGCGTGCGTGCGTGCGTGCGTGCGTGCGTGCGTGCGTGTGTGTGTGTGTGTGTTTCTGGCACAACCATGACCAGGAACTATGCAAAGCAGTACCTGATTTCAGTGTTGAATAAATACTTTATGACAGATAAGACACTTACCTCTCACGGTTACCTGCAGTGGTTCTGCACAAGCTGTTGCCATGCTCTTTTTGTTGTCAAGTCTTAAGAAGTACTTCCCCGCAAGTTTTGTGTTTACGTTGGAAAACAGAGTGGTGCATTTGAATTGGTCCAGGTCTCCAGTAATTTCTATTGGATATTTGTTAACTCCCTGACTCGTTGAGAATAGATTGTTTCCGCTTTTAATCCACACTCCCGCACGTTTTCCTATGGAAGAAAATCCATTTTGCTCCTTAAAGCTACACGGGACTTGCAAACAAGATCCGCTGAGTGCCTCATTCTGGATTGGTGTGGTAATGGAGACTCCTTCTTGTTGAGGAAGACAAACTGCCAAAACACCTGTTAAAACAAACTCACGGTGAACATTAAGTGAAACATAATCTTCCGACAAAGATAAGTTATTAACCACAACTGAAAGAAAGAGACTGTGACGGGCTGGTGCCCCATCCAGGGCGTACCCCGACAGGCACCAGCCCCCCTCCAAACCCCGACGGGATAAGGGTGTAAGAAAATGGATGGATGGATGGATGGATGGATGGATGGATGGATGGATGGATGGATGGATGGATGGATGGATGGATGGATGGATGGATGAAAGAAAGAGAACAAACGGCTCACTTGGAAGAAAGACGAGACTCAGTAACACTTTGGCTGTCGACATATTCCCAGACAGCGTTGCTATGACACTCTGAATGTCCTTCGTCGTCCTGCAGACTAGATGAAAACATGATGAAAACAAGTCAATTAGACACATTCTTAAGAAAATAAAAATTAGGTTTCTTTAAAGCAATGTTTATGTAACACTTTAAAAAATGCACTGTTGCATTTTGAGAGAACCTCCATGAAGTCTATTAATCTAAAAACATGATTTTATCTCCAAAAAGTTAAACACAGCAAACATTTTCTTACCAAATAAATTTGAATGCAAAGTCAAAATTTTCTTTTAAATCAAGCCATTTATGAAGTCAGTCAGCGGATGAATGACCGTCTTCTGTCCAAAAGATTTTGCCGTGGGAAACCTGCTTTTAACATTCTTTATTGTGTAAAGAGATTATATTATCTGGGTGGGCATGACCAAACAGATTTCGCAACGGTCTGCTAAAACCCAACTGAAGATATACATGTGAAATTTGCAGAACAGGTTTTTTGAAAGTCTTGTCACGCAACTGAATTATATTAGTAAAATATGTTTTGAGTTTAGCAGTGCACCGGTAAGTGGTTAGCACATTTTACATCGCAGGAACTTTTTGTCAAAAAACGAGCAAAGTTTCAAACATACTTAAAAATCAAGGTTGGGGAGACACAGAACGGGAGCAATCCTCCTTCACTCAGCGCTTATAGTTGACGTTCTCAGCTGGGATAAGCAGGAAGCTTCAATTGGATCACAGGGTAAAGAAATAGCTGAAGCACATAAAAACTGACTAACTTTTATTTTTATTTAACAACCCTATATTTGCTTGTTTTAGAATGAACTCGTGGAATATGATTAAAAAGTCAGAACTTGTGTGCATCAAAAGGAGAGGCATCAAGATACAATGGTTAGCAAGGTCATTATCTAAAGATCCAGTATACAAATATATATTTACATAGTTCAAACCAGATATTTACACACATTGAATAATGAGACATAACACATTTTTTTCTCAGGTACTGAAATTAAATCCGAGCAAACATTTCCTGTTTTAGCTTCGTTAGAATTACCAAAATTATTATGATTTGCTAAATTCCAGATAACTTAGCGAGAGCGTTTTTTTTTTTTTTTTTTTTTTTTGCAACTTTCCCCGAATTAAAAACTTTCACACATTTAGTCAGTGTCAGGGATAACAGTCTTTTAAAACGTGTGACTGGGATCAAACCATTTGGGTTTCCTTCCACGCACTCCTCATAGGGTTAACTGATCACACTTGAAACATTTTGACTTCTTGTTTGACATGATGGGAAAGTCTAAAGCAATCAGCCCAAGTCATCAGGAAGAGAGTCGAGCAGCTGCATAAGTCTGGTTGATCCTTGGGGACATTTTACAGATCTTTGAAGGCGCCACATTCATCTGCTCAAGCAATTTTATGCTAGTATTATAAGAATTGACGTGATAGGAAAGTCCAGCCACCATGCAACTCAGGAGTTCAGTTCTTTTGTCTTTTGAACCTTAAAGGCAGAAAAAAAAAAAGAATTTTCACCAGAATTATCAGTGGAGTTTTTGTGTTCTTGTGATATCAGAAATAAAAATGATCTAATAGATTAAAAGTTAATTTCTAATACATTACATTTACATAATGTAAAGACAAAAAAGTACATTTCTGTGATTACACAACAGCAGTTATTGCTGCTTCATTTCAATGTAAATATCCTCCGAACTGTCAACAGTCCGCACTGAGGAGTTTCTTGGCCTGGACTTTTTGACCTGGGCGTAGACTGCGTCCTCCTGTCCTCTGTCCTTCATAGAGGCATAGAAAGCTTCTGATCGTCTCTGGAAAAAGTTCATGTCCTCGTAATCGAGTTCTTCAGTTTTATCAGGAGGCACTTGAACTGTAACATCCTCATCTGGTTCAGCCTATGGAGAAAAACAAAAAAGTACATAAATATTTCACTTTGTGCTGATGGTGTCAAATGTAACGTACAGGTTTAATCCCATTTACCCACCTGAGTTTGTTGGGGAGTTCGATGTTTGGACTTGAAGAAACTGGAAAAATATTAGAGAGTTATCAGAATAATTCTGATGTTATTTATTTATTTATTTATTTTAACAGCCTGACTTTTCTTTTTTTTTTTTTTTTACTGACACATGTCCTTGCATCTGAACTACTGTACATGTAAATGTGGTGGAGAACTCTGCCCAGGGCACCACAGGCTGGGCACCTACAACTACACATGAGGAAGCCGCTTGTTTATACTCACCAAACTGAGGAAACCAAGGAGATGAACGCGAGGTAAATGAACAGCAAAACAACTGAAGCAAGAACTGTCTGCATCCCCGTTTCTTGGAAAGTGAAACACAATAACAAACCGATAACAAATAAAGTACAGCAGTATAGGACAGTGTGGACCGTACTGTGAAATATAAAACACTCCATCTTTATGAAGGTTACAGTGATATGGAGAAGCAGAAATAAACAGAAATGAAACTCAGATGTTACCTTTATTTTTCAAGTGAATCCATGATGATGTCTGATTGCCAAGAATATTTGCAGCCACACAAAAATAACTTTCTTTATTTGTCATGTTGGTCATCTGGAGATTGTAAACCGGCCCCACAGACACATTAACGGCTCCATGTTTACTGATCCAGAACCAGGTGAATCTGGGTGGAGGTTTGGCTCTGCTGGAGCAGCTCAGCTCCACCCAGCTACCTGCTGACACCAAACCTGATGGACTGATGGATGCTGAGGTGTTTCTAGGAGCATCTGAGGAAAATGAGACACATGAACTTTATTGATCACAAACAGCTGAACCATGACCTGCTGACAGGATCACTTACATGAAACACTGAGAGTCACTTCTGTCTCTGCTGTCTTGTTTCCTCCAATCACAGGATATCTGGCAGAACATCTGATGTTGTATCCATCATGTGTGTCTGACAGAGTGATGTTCTCCTGGATTTTAGTTGTAAAGGTTCCATCTGTGTTTTTCTCTGTTTGTCTGAGAGAGTCTTGTTGGAGATTCCAGGTGAGTTGAGGAGGTGAGTGTGGACAGGGAGTGAAAGCTGAGCAGGTTACAGTGACAGACTGATGCTCCTTCAGGTCAGAGGGAACATTAATGCTGGGACTCCAAGGAGAATCTGGGAATAACAATACATGAAATGACAAAAAGAAAAATAGAGAAAAAAGAACTGATGAGAAGAGTTCGACAGTAAATGGATCCAAATATGATTTGCTGCAAATCTGCTGCATAGATTTATCAGCCCACAAGGAGGCTCCCAAGAGCTCTTATTCCTATATAAGTTAGAGTTAAAAATACATAACAGCACAAAGAAAAGCCTACATAGTCACATTAGTAGTTTGATTGTATTGAACATAGAGTAATAAACGCATAAACAAAGTTATATGCAAACAAAACAAAAGAAGGACTATTGTTAATACTATTGTTAAACATTAGGTATATTTACACATTTGTATTTGTTAGCTGCTTTATAATGTTTCTAATCTAATGTTGCTTTTGAATGAGCTGTGGTCAAATTTTACACACCAGTTCTTTGCAAATACACTCGACCAGGGGTGTAGAACTCGTTTTCATCTTGGGTCACATCAAAAATCCTAATGCTCATAAAGGGCCGGTTGTGCCAGAATGTATTGATAAAACCAATTAAACAGTTAAAATATTAATAAATAGCTGTTCCTCCTGGGTTTTGTGATTGTTTGTGTTTATTTATTTTTTTTGCAGATTTTGTGGTGCCCATTAAGAAATGTTTGTAATTAATTTTTACAATATTTGCATTGTTGTATGTTAAATGTGACTTTTTATTACTTGCCGTATCATTTATGGACTATAACCTGTCATCCAGTAAGGCTGAGAAAGCAATGACTTAAACTCACTTTGACTAATTTAGAGACATTATGCACTAAAAAAAATGGAGATTTGTTTATTTTGTGTGAATTTTGCAGATTTGTGAAAAACTGGAAGGACCATTAATTTGGAGGCTAGGGGGCCACATTAAAAAATTACAGGGGGCCAGATGTGGCAACCGGGCCTTGAGTTTGACATCTGTGCACTAGACAATGATTTATATTTTTCTTTTTTTCTGTCAGAAGGGCACTAAATATGATTGTTCCCCTTTGTGTCTATGAGCAGACGATATGAGTTGGTCAGACCTGGAACTTGATTATTTCATACCTGTCATATAGAGCATGTCAGTTTTTTGACTGTTTGCTTCAGTAACTTTCCTGAGCACATCAGTAATTGAGGCCACTATTCAATTCTGCTGAAGCAATAAAAGAATGTTTAAAAATATTTAATCCTCTTCATCTCATGCTTCTTTATATTTATGATGTCATGATGAATTGTCATATCTGACTGATAAGGCTAAGTCACCACAATTCGGATTTAGAAATAGAATAAAATATTTAAAAGAAAGTTACCTTACCTTTAACTGTTATAGTGAGAGGATGAGCGCAGCTTGTTGCTCTGAACGGTCCGTTCTCAATCCTGAAGAAGTACATGTCTGTATATCTTGAGTTTAAATCAGAAAACAGTGTGGTGCAGTTGTTCTCTGAAAGGTTTCCAGTTAATTCCAATGGATAGGTGTTCACTGACTTACTGCTGTTGAAAATTACATCATTTGGATTAGAGTCAAAGTCTAAAGTACCTTTCATCCAAATGCCATAGATACTAATTTCCTTGTTAAATTCAGAATGATTTGCAATAAAACTACATGGGATCTCCAAACAAGATCCACTCAGAGCTTCAATGTTGTTTGGTGCCGTGATATTGAAGATCGCTGGTTTTTTATGACAGTAATGAGCCAAAGCACCTGTAAAAAAACAACAAAAAAATCAAACAAATGATGAACATAATGTCAACGAAAGTCATCAGTCAGCAGAGAAACGTCATTATCCCTAAACTCCAGTGGAGCTGCAGCATGTTAACACGTGATGTGATTCATGTGACGTCTCCAAATGGAAGGAAGGGAACAAACATCTCACCTGGAAGAATGAAGACACTCAGAAACATCCTGACGGTCAGCATGTTTCCAGGAAGAGCTGCCATTAGTCTCATAGTCCTCCTTCAATAAAAATAAAACAAATGCCAAGGCATTTGAACTGAACGTTACATTGTTTCACATCTGTCCTTACCCTTCTGTTATGTTCGTTTCTTAGGTACAGCAATCATGTTTGTGGGTCAGTTTGACCCGTCGAGTGTTTAATCATGCAATAGTGTCAGAAACCAAAAAATTCCTCCAAAACATGTTTGTATCTGATTATTAACTCCAATACTAACCAATTCAATCAATATTTGTGCAATGATGTTTTTTTATTCATTTATTTCTCACAAATAAAGGATCCACGACGACAACTTACTCATTTAGTCAATTTGAAAATGTAAAGTACATTTTTTATGTCCACTGAAAAAAACCTACACACACACACACAAAAAACAATTAACTTTAAAATTGATCTTTTGAAAAAGATGTATATTACATTTTGACAGTGATGTCAGTAACGCGTTACTGACTGTAACAGGGCGGCCGTTTGCGGTTGGATTTTATGGTGCAGAAGATTACGAGAGGTAGAGTCAGGTGGAAACCGCAGTCAGTTTATTCTCCTCACAGCATCAACACACACACTCAATAACAATCAATCCTCACACAGGTGAAACTACAGGCTTAAATAGTCTCAGCTGTGTTGGACCCAACCACCTCCAATTCACAGGGGGATCTCACTTAAATCTCCACCTATTTAAATAAAATACACTTTATTAAAAATAAACATTTAAATTTACTTTTTATAAATATTTTATATTTTATCTTACACCAAATTAAACACCACAAAAAACCCATAAACAATTATCTCCCCACACTTTTCAATGGCCTCTCCCGGAACCTATAAATGGTGCCTGGACCCCCGGGGTAGTATTTGTCCAAACACCCTGGAGAGCTGTGCAGAGCCCAGAACAAAAGGCTACATGCTAATTACTAAAATATTCAATAAATACAATTAAAACTTCTCGTGTGCAAATTATTTATGTGCAAATCTCTGCTTAAAGTGCAGTGCTAAATAAAGTGCTTGTTAATAAAGTGCAAAAAGTGCTTTTAAAGTGCTATACAGTGACTTAAATAAAAATAGACCCAGTAATGAAGCTCTCTTCATTACACTGACGTAGGACCACTTTTTTCAGTAACGAGTAATGTAACGCGTTGCTATTTCAAATCCAGTAGTCAGACTACAGTTACTTATCACTTACTTTGCGTTACTGTGCGTTACTATTTTGTTTTGTCATTTCATTTCATTTCCTCTACGCTTCTTGTGGAGCGACCGCCGTTTCTATGCGACAGTATCAGCAGCGACAGAAATGGAAACAAGGGAGGGAGACGCGCATTTTGACGGTGGAGAGACAGGAACTGTTTTGAGTTTCTGTTGCCAAGTCCGATTATTATAAGCGCCTTTGGGCTTGTCCTGTTTCTAAAGTCGCTTGCAAATTTAATGAGTCGCGGGCTGCGCTTTTTTGGGGGCTCGTTTTTGAACGTGACGTTACTCATTTGGGCTTGGAAATAAACAGAGACTCATAATAAATCCCGGGATTTGTCCGTCATCCAGGTAGTTTTCGTCAGGCCTTCCAGGTCTATCCATTCCCGGATGATCCGTCCTGCTGTGTCTTTATTAATGTCAAGTGTGAATGACGTCGAGCTTCGCGTTGCGCTCCAGAAAACTGCAAGACTAATATGAACAGCGCAACATGAATGAAAACAGTCATGAATGAACGAGTCCGTAAAGTTGAGCAACTAAACGCCATTATAATAATTACTATTAAGACAAGTGTCACAAATCTGTGCAGAAGGATATCTGAGTTGTGGAGCCACAGGAGGAGCGCTGTGCGCTGCGCTCTGACAACAGACGCGGGGCGTAACACAGAACCTGGAGGCTGGGGCAGAGAGGGGGGCTTTAAAATCCTTCTTAGAGTTGTCCAGACAATAGTGGCACACACAAATGACTAACGCTTTTTTTTTTTTTTTGTACTGTTGTAACCATTAAAAATTAAAGTTTAAAAAAAAAATTAAGCTTTAAAACGGGTCAATTTGACCCGCAACATAACAGGAGGGTTAAAATTCAAACAGTAAAACCATCAGCCTACCTTCCTACCTGTGCAGATTTACTTAATTAACTTTTAAATATTGCCAAAAGACTTGTCTTCTTTTAAGATGAAAGAATCTCAGCTTTAAAATCTCTGTGTGGAAATCATAGCACCAACTTACCAAAGATCTGCAGTTAAAAATGGAAACAGTTCAGTTTTCCTCGCTGTTAATATTCTCGTTTGAGCTGATCAGCATCAGATCCAATAGCCAATCTCTCTGAATGTGTGTTGGAAAAAACACATCAACTTGTTTTTATTTGTCTCCCCTTCACATCCTGACCTCAAGAAAGAGGAAGTTACCTTTAGATCCAATAGCCAATCTCTCTGAATGTGTGTTGGAAAAAACACATCAACTTGTTTTTATTTGTCTCCCCTTCACACCCTGACCTCAAGAAAGAGGAAGTGAGGAAGTTACCTTTTGAGCATCTTGCTGCTGCCACAATGTTTCCTTATTAGGGGTGTTTAGTAGCACAGACTTACTTGACTGCTGAACAGTAGATTAAATGTTCAGCTACGCAAACAGCAGAAAATGCTTTTGTTTGAGAATGAATGTTTTCTACAAAACATTCACATTTATTAATCATTTATAATGTACTCAAGGTGAAAACGGGTGTCAGTTTTGCTCGTTTCCGTCCATCAGCTGCAGATGAGAATATGATCTTTATTGCTGCATAGAAAATACTGGTAAGATTCAGACAGTTTTGCTTGAGAAGTTTGTACAAAGTCTCACCATGTGAAAAATTAAGTGGACTTTTATGAACATTTTGGCATCAAAATGTCTAGTCGAGATAGCATCTTGGGTCTGAATGTGTAAGTCTTCTGTGAACAAGAATAGCCACAGTTTTAAAACAAGGCACCTTTTCTCGGAAAGTATCGTGTGAGTACTATTACTAATGTTAATATTACTATTACTACCATTAGTGGCTATACAGACTGGTGACCTACAGCAGAATTTAGATGCATAGCTCTTGCTACAATTACAGCCTGGTCTGGCCAAAAACCCGGCTAGTTAGAAATGATTGTGCGAGAAAACAGTGGCAGACTGTACTTCTGCATCTGCTGTGCCAAACTATGAGATCACTTGCTCTCGACTCGTACTAGTGTGAATTATTCACTTCTGTTTACTTTTTCCATAAGTCAAAAGCTGCAGCATTTATAAAACAATGGTAGTCAGTCCCTACTCTTCATATATGGGTGTTTGGTCAGGTTCCCTCTGCGTGACATTCTAACTTTTTGAAAGGCGTGTAAAAAGTGCTACAATCTTTGCCCTCTCGATGTATCTGTTTTAAACAGTGTTAATCTGGCTTCACCTTTAAAAGATCCTCTGGCTCTCTGAATACATGGCTTTATCTTCATTTCTGCTTAATTTGTAAAGAACAGAGAAGGGGACATCTTCATATGGTAGAATGGCGTCATCCTCATGACATCGCCTTATTCTTATTTTTGCACAATACAAAATTAAAACGAATATGGTGGGTGGAGGCTATAAGTCCACATATGCATGGACGTGTGATAGGTGGTGGTATGCACCACCAAAGTTGTTTGCAATCCATTAATAATGAGGAGAAAAAGCTTAATAAAAATGTTTAAGAAGAATAAGGACATATTTTCTGTCATGAAAATGTCTGTCAGTAATAATAATCCCGGACACCTAGAAGAAGCCGATGTCCCTTTAAGCTCCAGGATCATCACGCAGTTTTCTGGTTTTGAATGTTGCTGCCTCACTGCTGCGGCTGTAGTTCACCAAACAACTCAAAGCTTCTACATGTCACAGTGACTTCTGCATTAAGTTTGAAAGCCAACGTGGGGTCAACTTATTCACTGTTAAGATCTGATGCAATGCATTTCTTTGCGACACTGGCACAGCTAACCACATTTCCTGCAGAGCTGTACTGCATCTACCTCCGCAGACAGTTTATTACCTAAGATGTGTTTAAATATAACCTGGAGCGTTAGTTTTATGTTCCTTCTCTTACCATGAGAACTACTTTTGTTTTTTCCTCAATTTCCTTTTACTAAACTTTCAAGTGATCACAGATCACCATCTCTTAAGGTTTTTTTTTGTTGTTTTTTTATTTTCAGATTTCTTCTTTTGCAAGCTGTTGCAAACTGAAATATGCATGCAGTAATTCTCCTGCAGGACGCATGTACCTATTTGTTCAGGTGACAATGTTTTATTTTTTACTCTGTATTTGAGAATTTAGATTTGTGAGGTGATTTTGAGCGATAAAAAGATTCTAAATAAAAAATTAATTCACTCAGGTAAGAATTTACTCTTACATCTTGGTATTAAAAGCAAACTGAGTAAAAAAAAAAAAAAAAATTCATTTGAAATGAGTTCAGAGAACATGAAACACAAATCATTAAAAGAAATTGAAGATAATCTGTCATTTCCATATTTATCCCACTCCACTCCCTTTTTGTAAATACCCTAAAAAGCTCATGCTATGTTGCACACGTACGATATTTGGTATTTTTAGCTTTAAGTGAATAACATAAAAGAATCGGCTTTATTTTGTGTAAATGCACATTATACCTTATAGGAGTATTCACACGTTTTTCAAGCAGTGCAAAATTAGAAACTGGAAGAATTAATTGAACCCAATCCGTTCAACCTGTTGCTAAACGGTAAGAGTCTTTCTCTCGCTGAAATGTAAAACTTCATCCCAGGTACAAGTCTTTTGCTGGTGCTTTGTTTCCTGACGTGTCTTATTGCTGTTTTATCCGTCTTTCTATCCAATCCTGTTGTCTCAGCTGAAGACAGTACCCACAGTATGATACTGCCACCATTTATGTAAGCTTGTCCAAAGTGCAGGATAATACGTTTCAACATGTGAAATGTCTCCACAACTTATCCCTGACCTGCTGCCGGGTTTCTGTGTGTCCACTAACGCTGATCTCTGACAAAAACCTCTGGGGCCTTTAAGCTGCAGTAGGTAACTTGTGCAGACTTCTATAAACAGATTTCCTGTAAGTTTTTGTCTCTGCCATTAACAAGAGCTGCAGCAAACCGGAAAACATGACCAACTCATTGACAAGTGTGACTAAGGTCTTACTAAAGGAGCTTGTTTTGGTGTTTTCCCCATAGATTATCTGTCTCATGTCATGCTGTCAGGACAAAGTGATAGTTTTAACAAATATGTAAAAAAACAAAAACAAAAAAAAAACATACTTTTTAAAAATTACACACTGCAGCTTTAGCAGAATAACTTGATTTATATAAAGACTAAATTAAATTACACACAAATATCATGTTTGCTAGTTAGATGACTTCTAAGGGTAATCTGGATTATATGTGGGGCCATCGGAGTAAAAAAGACTAAATTCACATGCATGCCACACTTTTCAGATTTATATAAAATTCTGCATTTCCCTTTTATTCCTACTTCCCTCCCACGAATAACATTATGTTTATGTAGCACGTAAAATCCCACTGAATTTGTATGGGGTCTTTTTTTTGCAGATATATGTGCTGTGAAAAGTGGTTTCATCTAAACCGCAGCTTCTTTAGAAGAATGAGGAAAGATGGCATTTTTTCACAAGGCACTGGAGGGCAAACCTCCCCAGCTTCCTCAGCTCTGACGGGAAGGCCCCTCAGACCCCCCTCCCCCCCCGCATTGAATGTGTCCAGTGGAAGAAGTTCAAGACAAAAAAAACTGTTCTGTGTTCTAGCCTCCAAAAAAAAAAAAAAGTTCTTTTTTAAAAAAGGTGTTGAAAACGGAAACGAGCGAGTGCAAAAAGTTAAACAAATTAAAAAAGAGGAACCTAGCTTAACATATAGCCATTGCAGCAGTTGCTCTGACATTGCGGTTGAAAGAAGAAGTGCAGCATCACATCACCATCTAACCATTAACCATATGCAGTGTGGTGCAGTGAAATGATGAAGTGAAAATAAAATTGCCCATTTTGTGTGCTTAACATATCCTTTTAATGGTGATTAAAAAGGCTAGGCTTTAAATACTTTGTTGAAGTACAACATATGATGACTTCCTGTTGCAATGCAAAGCAAGGTGTAAAAGACACACAGCTCCCCAACCCCCAAAACAAACAAACAAACAAACAAAAAAACAGCACAAAAATATCACAAAATAGCACGTGATGAATATGCAAAGTGAAGTAGCTTCAACAGATACCTCTAGCTAACTTTATTTTAAAGAAAAAAGTTACTTTTTCTTCACTTGAGCATAGATATCATCTGTGGTGTGCGTTGAGCACTTTCTTGACTTGGACACTCTGACTTGTGCATAAACTGTCTCTTCCTCTTTGCCGTGCTCCTCTGAGGTAGAGGAAGCTTCAGGTTTCCTCTTGAAGAAAGTCACTTCTCCGTACTGCAGGTCTTCAGCAGCAGCAGACGGTGTTTGTACCGCAGCCTCCTGACCAGCTGGAGTCTGTGGGGGAAAAAAAAAAAAAAAATCTCTTGAAAACAGTTCATGCTTAAACCGGCTCTGGCACAGACTGAAGATACGTTGCAGTGCTAAACATTTACCCACCTGAGTCTGTTGAGGAGTTGGCTGTTTGGACTTGAAACATCTGGAAGACATTGGAGAGCTGTCAGAATAAGTCTTTAAAGTTATTGTTGCCTTTAGTCACTGAAAGGTAAATCTATTTTAGTATTATAGTTCAAAACTATAGTGGGAATGGAATATGACAATGTTTTCAAATGTTTCTATTCGTGCCAGTCATATAAAATTCAAACCAGATGTCAACAGCAGTAACCCGAGTAGTTCACACATAGAAGAAATGAAGCATGAATGATGTTGTGCTTTCATTTTTGTAAGATTCATCTTTGTAAGATTAACTTCAAGATGTTTCCTGTATGGGGAAACTAGTAACATACATTGCTCAGCTGTTTGACTCACTCCTCTTTAAAAAAAAAAAAAGAAAAAATCATGAAGGTTCTTCGGATCAATTAAGAGTTTTTATTTTATTTTATTTTTTTATTTTATATTTTTAGAATTATTGTCTTGTATGTAATCCACATTTCTGTTTTCTTCCGATGTTTACAAGAATGCTCAAACGAAAAGCAAATTTCTCCATTTATAATTAGGCTGTTTAGTACAAAGAAATATGTTGTCATTTAAATAAATTACACACAGCACTCTACAATTTTTGACATCACACATCACGATGTTTACATCTGCAAACCTCAAGATGCTTTTGGTGTGATGCACTGTAATGATTGTAGTGATTATTAAATAATTACATTTTCTTCACTAATGTAAAACTAAAACATATCAATTGCTAAGCAGTATGGAGTCACAGTGAGCGAGTAATCTTAGTCAGTTTTTACCATTCTACCTCCAAACATTGTGTGTGTGATGACCCCTAAAAGTTCAGCTTTGGCCGTTTTCTGACAGGACTGAGTTCCTCCCGTTTTTCACTGGCTTGTCCAAATCCCACGCAGCTTCAACGTGTTTTTTATTCAACTGTGGAACGTTGTGCAGCGAGTGTTCAAAGAGGCCGTTGCAGCAAATGCATAATCTACAGGTACAAACATTGAATTGTACATAGAAGCAGGAATGTTTCCAACTTCTTGGCTTTCTGTTGCTTTTCGCTCACCCTTATCTTTTTCTGTCCAAAAAACCTAATTTGTGGAGGTCTGTAATTGGATGTTTTATATATGTGGACGACTTGGGTTGTTGTTGACAAAACCATTCATATGAATTAATCTAAATTAAGAACAGATTTGGTTTACTTCACTGAAATCAGCTAATTTATATCTCTCTAATTTCTAATACCTACCTGACATAAAGAACCAGACAGATCAGCACCAACAGCGCAATTGCCAGTGCAATTGGCAGCCAGAAAAGATGTCCGTTCACGATACCTGAATAAAACAAAATAGGAACATTTACCCCAACGTTTAGGCATCAGATGTTGAGAATGTTCCTCATATTTAGTGGTTTTAAAAATATCTACCTTTAATCCTAAGTCTCACTGATGATGTCTGATTTCCCAGATAATTTGTAGCCACACAGTAATATTCTTCCTCAGTGGCATTGAAGCTGTAAACTGGCCACACAGACACATTAGTGTCTCCATCATTGTTGTTCCTGAACCAGGTGAATCTGGGTGGAGGTTTGGCTCTGCTGGAGCAGCTCAGCTCCACCCAGCTACCTGCTGACACCAAACCTGATGGACTGATGGATGCTGAGGTGTTTCTAGGAGCATCTGAGGAAAATGAGACACATGAACTTTATTGATCACAAACAGCTGAACCATGACCTGCTGACAGGATCACTTACATGAAACACTGAGAGTCACTTCTGTCTCTGCTGTCTTGTTTCCTCCAATCACAGGATATCTGGCAGAACATCTGATGTTGTATCCATCATGTGTGTCTGACAGAGTGATGTTCTCCTGGATTTTAGTTGTAAAGGTTCCATCTGTGTTTTTCTCTGTTTGTCTGAGAGAGTCTTGTTGGAGATTCCAGGTGAGTTCAGGAGGTGAGTGTGGACAGGGAGTGAAAGCTGAGCAGGTTACAGTGACAGACTGATGCTCCTTCAGGTTTGTTTGATCACCTGAAATAGTCATGTTTGGTTCCCAGGCAGAATCTGAAATTCCACATCAGACAAAATTATTTTTTTAGGTTTACAGTTAAATAAATAATGTATGTTGTTAAGCAGAAGTGAACATATTCAGGTACTAAACACCAAAATTATTTTTTTCTGTTACATTCATTTATATTTAAACTAATTCAAGATGGGATTAAAATTTAGACTTTGGAATTTGATTAATATTTCACAAAGATATTACGTTAACTGACCATGGGTTGCTTATCTAGAGCACTTTTTTAAGTTCAAGAATGAATGATAAATATTGTGGTGGTCTCTCAGGAGGGCTAAAAACCTTTTCATTTTGATTTTCTACTACTACTAATAAACATTGCAACTAAAAAAAAGTGTATCTCTGACTCCAACTCAATGATGAGTGATGAGTTTTTCTTTGTCTTGGGTTTTGCTTTGTTGTTTTGTCTTTATCTTTGGTGGATTTCACTTAACACCAAAAAACAGCATCAGCTGAAGATTATTGTCTTCATATATTCACAATGATTCTCTTTGTGAATACATACATGCAAACCATGGAGCGTTAGTGTTGGAAAAATTAAATATTTCTAGCAATAATAATACTGACAATGAGGAAGAAGTTGAAAATGTTTTTCTTCTAACATTTTTTTCCAACAGCGTTTTGTTCCTGTGTACAAATGAGTTGAAGCTCAGCAGATGTCCCTTTTATTTTATTTTTACCTCAGAAAAAATTAAAAACTGGATCTCAGTGTTTGAGAATTAGAAAAAAATATCTACAACACTTTATTTTGTAATAACTGGCATCCTGCTGTAGAAAACAACAGATGATCAGAAAATATACATGTAAAAACCCAAACTCTTAGAATGAAATTTCTGTTATTCTAAATTAATGGAGTGATGAAGATAAAGTTCTTACCTTTAACTTTTATTTGAACATGTTCACAAGTAGCTGTTGCCTTATATTGTCCGTTCACGATTCTGAAATAATATGTGTCTTCATAGCTGGTTTTTAAATCAGAAAATAGAGTTGTGCAGTCATTTTCCTTCAGGATTCCAGTTATGTTCATTGGATAGACGTTGTCTGATTTGCTGCTGTCAAACACTTTATTTGTTTCATCTTTATCATTAGTTATGTACCAAAGTCCACTGATTTCTGTCTCATTGTTAAAATCAGCATCCCCATTGATTGCTACAAATGTACAGGGGATATGCAAACAAGATCCGTTTAGTGTTTCCATCTCCTTTGGGGTAGTAATGTGAAGGTGTGATGTACAGCCAGCCACAAGACCTGTAAAAGCAGAACCAACAATAAAATAATGTGGATAAAATCTGAGAAAGAAAGAAACCTTTCTACAAACTTCTGTTTAGCTGCTGGAAGTTACATGAGGAGCCTTTAAACATTATCAGGATCAAATATTTCAGATCATTAAATGATTCCTCTGATGTCTCCAAATAAGAGGAAGAGAACAAACATCTCACCTGGAAGAAAGAAAACACTCAGTAACACGTTGACTGTCAGCATGTTCTCAGACAGAGCCGCCATCATAGTCTGACGGTCCTTCTTCATCTGTTTATACTTTTAATGTTTATATTAAGCAGAGGACCCTGTTAAAAATAAAACGTTGCTTTTAGAAGTCAAGAAGCTAAGCCGAAGCTTCCAATAAAATTATTCATGGTAAAACTACATAAATTCATCAGCAGAAAAAAAAATAATAAAATGTGTCATGTAAATGTAATATACTTACCAAATTAATCCAAATTTTAAGCAAAATCTGCATTTAAACCGTGCAACCTGACTGGAACGTCAGTTCTTCAGCAGAAGATCTGGAAGCTTTTAAAAAGGAAGTATTATTTCAAAGCTTGACACATACGGGTCCTTCCTCCTTCTTTAGGAGAGGATGCTTGATGTTTAAGGCCTCCTCTGTTTGCAATACTTAAGACCACATTCAACCCAAGAACATATATATGTCTTACAACGTATTCTATGTTGACACAGTTATTGTGTTGTGGACGCTTATTGCTTCACAGGAGTCACGTTACAAAAAATGTCATTCCAGTGAATGGCACACACTTTGCAGTTGATTCTAGTTATCTAGCAGTAAATGCTCAGATAATTATTCAAATTAATTTAAAATATTTCCATCCAAGTTGTTATGCTTTGAAACCGTTTGTCAAATTGTATTTGCATGCATGTCTTGAGTCACCTTCTGTCATTATATTATCTATAGCTCAGTGAAAGAACAGGAACATGTTCTTCCTCTGCCACCACAGCCGTTTGTCGTGTGTTTTTTTTTTTTTTTACAATAATCCAGTGGATTATTTTAGTAAATTCAGCTTTTTTAAAATTTGCTTTGACTATTTGGTGTCAGCTTGCAGAACTGGAGAGGATGTGGGGTCTATTTATTTCTCTTGAAAACTGATAGTAAGGGAGCCAGATGAGAGGAGTAATTAGGGAAGTGAAAGTAGAAACAGTGATGAGTCATAATAAAAGAAACGAGATAAAGAGAACATTGAAGAGCTTGTTCCAGAAATTAGGAAAAATGTTATGTAGGACATGACCTTTCATATTGGAGAGGGTAGATGGTAAAAAGGCTCCTGAAATCTGTCCTTATATCTGTCACTGGAAAACAGATGGACTAGAAATCCATTGGTGTCTCATTGCAGGTTCAAATCCTGCAAACAATTATCAGTTCTAGTACTGTATATAAAGAATTCATAAAATATGTAAAAGATCTTTTTTAAATTGTAAAATGGTTCCTGAAATTTCTCCCGGTGTCTGAACCCTGCAGATACGTGGGTCAATGTGGTCGAGAGGTTAAGATGATGGATTTGAAATCTATTGGGGTCTCCCTGCAAAGGTTTGAATCCTACCAACAATGATCAGTTCTAGTACATTAAAAGCTTTTCCCTCATGAAAGTTATATAAATTTGCTGGATGTCTTTGTTCTGAAAGTTCTACGTGTTGAACCAGAATATTCTTAAAATCGCTGCACATCCATGTTGCACTTTGATCTGGGCAGTGTTGAAGCAAAGCAAAACTTTTTTTTAATTAAAAAATAAAACATAAAAACTGAGCTATGTTTCTACTCTAACAGCAACTAATTTAAAACTTTGCATTCAAATTTGTGGAAATGTCATTGAATTTGGTCTGAAATTACTGGAAGCAGAAATAACTCGGGAGTAAGATATAGAGGATATGACAAACGAAACGTTTTTAAACGTTTTGTCCTTTTATCAATATTTTAAAAAAGCACTAAGAACCCCTTCTGATGCTCACCGAATTGGTGTTGTTATTTTCTTTAACTGATCTCCCTTTAATTTGTACTCAGATGACTTTGTCATTTACACACATGGCACAGATGCAATTCAAGTTTCCAGTGCAAAATCTTTTACAATGGAACCTTTACAGCTAAAATGCCTTGAATGCAAAGCAGTACCTGATTTCAGTGTCGACTAAGAACTTTATGAGGCATTCAAAATAACACTCTAGTTATTCATAACTAGTTATTCATATAATAGTTATTAGTTATTCATAGAATAACTAGTTATATAACTAGTAAAATAACACTAGAGTGTTATTTTACCCGAAGAGGATCAGCACAAGCGGTTGCCCTGCTGTTTCTGCTGTCAAGTCTTAAGTAGTAAAAGCCCTGAACATCTGTGTTTACGTCAGAAATCAGGGTGGTGCAATTGAATACAAATGCATTTTTTTTTAATTATTTAAATGTCCTTCAGAATGAAAAGTGACACAAAGTTAAACTTAGAAAGACTTTCTTACCAAATAAATCTTCTCTCACTCAACTTTTTGCTGAAAAGCTTCTGTCGTGAGCAGGCAAGCTGCAGCAGTGAGCCTTCATTCTTGTGTAAAAGAGGATGTCAGATTGTATCGTCCATGTATTTATGGCCAGACAGTGTTTGCAACTGTTTGTGAAGAGCGACTGAACATTCACATGGGAAGTTTTTGTCACGGAACTGAAATATAATTTATGAATAAGTTCGTCATTTAGGCAGCACGCAATTGTATGTTTCATTTCATTTACTTCTCGGTAACTAGTTATGAAAAAAAAAAAAAAAAAAAAAAACAGAAGCAAAAACATAAACGTAAATGAAATGTTGGAGTGGCTTCCTCGGGTTGTATGAAATACTCTACTGCAGTGGTCCCCAAGCCCCGGACCGCGGACTGGTACCGCTCCGTGGACCAATTTTTTCTGCGTAAGAAATAATGAAATGTTTCCCTTTTAGGTATTATTTGAGTCTGGAGGATCTTTTATTTTGAAAATCCTTTAAGCAGTTTCTCTGGGTGATCGGCTCATTAATGAGGAAATGAAGAGACCAAGCAGGCTGTGCTTAAGC